AAAAAAAAAAAAAAGCCGTGCACCAGGGACTCTCGCCTGTAAATCCTAGCTACTCAGGATCCTAGCTACTCTGCGGATCGCGGTTCGAAGCCAGGCCAGGCAGGAAAGTCCGTGAGACTTTTACCTCCAGTTAACCACCAAAGCAGCCAAAAGTGGAGCTGTGGCTCCAGTAGTAGAGGCGCTAACTTTGAGCAAAAAAACTCCGTGACAGCGTCCAGCTCCTGAGTTCAAGCCCGACGCGCGCGTGCGCGCACACACACACAAACACACACACACACCGAGGATCAGCGCGTGTGCGCGCGCGCACACACACACACACACACACACACAGTGTCAGGACCCTGGATCCCGGGCACCACGGACACACACCCACACACACAAATGTCAGGACCCTTCTTCCTCCCCACCCTCTCCTCCCTGCCCCCCAGTGTCTACTGGGATCCCTGGCACCACGGACACACACACACACACACACACTGTCAGGACCCTTCTTCCTCCCCACCCTCTACACACACACACACACACACACACACACACACCAGGACCCTTCTTCCTCCCCACCCTCTACACACACACTCTCTCTCTCTCTCTCTCTCTCTCTCTCTCTCTCTCTCTGTCAGGACCCTTCTTCCTACCCACCTTCTCCTCCCCACCCCCCAGCGTCTACTGGGATCCTGGGCCCCAAGGGTAGTTCTAAAGGAATACTGTGCTTTGCATCGGGGCTGGGAAGGTGGCTCAGTGGTAGAGCGCTTGCCTTGCATGCATGAGGCCCTGGGTTTGATTCCTCAGCATAAGCAGAAAAAGGTGGAAGTGGTGCTGTGGCTCAAGTGGTAGAGCGCTAGCCTTGAGCTGAAGAGCTGAGAGACAGTGCCCAGGCCCAGAGTTCAGGCCCCACGGCCAACCAAAAAAAAAGAATCAAAAGTGCTTTGCAAACCTTTAATTTACTACTAGAGCGCAAATAGGATTAATTCCTAACGAACAAGGTTGGGTGTGTGTTTTTGTTTTTTTTTTATTTATTTTGGTACTAGTTTCCTAGGCTGTGAGCTTCTCAGGGTGATGACACATATTTTTCTTTTCATTCTTCTTTTTTCTTTCTTTGAGACAGTCCCCCAGTGGAGTCCAAAGTGGCCTCAAGCAGAAAATTCTCTCTTGCTTCACTTTCCCAAGGGAGGCTGGGAGAAACGATATTCTGGTGGCCACCATCAGCACATTACCTGTCTGAAACAGCACTAAATAGAACTCTCAAGTAATCCATTTCATCAAACATGGCCAGCCTCTAGCCATGTGTAGTTATTGAGTTTTGACTCTCTGTGTGTGTATGTGTGTGGTACTGAGGAATCATACCCAGGGCTTCATGCATGCTAGGCAAGCACTGTACCACTAAGCCACATTCCCAGCCCTGATTATTAAGATGTGCTTGGTGCAATGGAAGAACTGAATTTTTTTATTACTAGGGTTTGGACTGGGGGTCTTATGACTACTACATAGGCACTCTGTCATCCAGCCCAGATCTTTTTTTGCACTAGGTTACTTTTTTCAGATAGAGTCTCATGTTCTTGTTTTTGTGTTTTGTCCAGGCTAGGCTTCCTTCCTCAATGACTCAGGAGTGGCTGAGATTACAGATGTGAGTCACCTCACACTTTCTTATTTTACTTAATTTTAATAAATCAGCCACATGCTTTAGCTCACAGATCAGAAAATGTTTTCTGAATGGAAACAGAAATTACTGCACTAGTACATGAAGGAGGAGAGTTACCTATCAAAAGAAATAGAGAACCTGGGTCCTAGTGGCTCCTGCCTGTAATCCTAGCTACTCAGGAGGCTGAGATCTGAGGATTGTGGTTCAAAGCCAGCCTGGGCAGGAAAGTCTATGAGACTCTTACCTCCCTTTAACCACCAGAAAACCAGAAGTGGAGCTGTGGCTCAAGTGGTAGAGTGCTAGCCTGGAGCAAAAGAAGCTCAGGGACTGAGCCCAGGCCCTGAGTTCAAGCCTTATGACCAAGGAAAGAAAAGTGCCAGAAGCATGACTCAAAGGGCTCCTGGCTACTAGTGGCCCTGAATTTGAACCCCAATACTCCCTCCAAAAATCCTAAACATAAAACAACTGAAATTGTGTGTAGTGAACATAAAATGAATGTATTAAGCTTAAAGGAAACATGAACAGGAATTATGTAACTTTATATTTGAGATTAAATGTTAGTTTTATTAGGATGATTTCAATGAAAAAGTAAATGATGACAGACCCATCAGAAACTCAAATTCATAAAGACAAACCACAATATAAATAAATATATGACTTCAACAGGCATGTGCCCCTGTGCATGGGACTGGAGGTGAGGTGGGGCAGATATGTGTTTTCCTCTCACCTTTTGGTAATGACTAATGACTTGGTATTCTCCAAAACATGTGTTAAATAAACATCAATAAACTTCTTTCCTTCAAAGATTTTGAATTGAGTCTGAGAGTGACTTTTAATATTTATGATTGACCCAGACTGAGTCTGTTTGGACGCACGGTTTTCTGTTTTGATGTTGCTGTGATTACTGGTGTCAGTATTCTCTTTATTGCCTGTGGTTCATTGTTTAATCAGCCAAACACTGTCTAGCTCAGCTCATCAGACCCAACACTGTTAGACAATCTGATCCCTCATCCTACCTACCAGGTTCCAGTACAGATCAATTCTGAATTGCAAGTTCCTCTGGACAACACCTGAAGACAACACCGGCCTGCTCAGCTCAGCTTATCAGTCTGCATGTATCACTGGCTTTTCTCATTGCCTGGTCCCTGTCTTTATTAGCTATTCCCTCAATACCCTCTGACCTGTCATTTCAGCATAAAAGCCCATCTTGTGCCATCTTTAGCACCTGTCAATTTGCCTTTCTCTCATGCAAGCTTCTAGAAAGAGCCACACTATTTTTTTTTTCTACCACTTCCATTCCCATCCTTGTCTGCTCAGGCCACACTGGCTTCTAGCACATTCTTCCCTGACCCTAGGCATTTCTAGACCTAACAGCTTTTTTTCTGACTCAGTGAAGGACGCTGTCATCTATTTAGATGCCAGGTCCACACTAGGTTCACTTGCGCACATTGCTTGCCCTTCCCATGATCCAGTGTTCATTCACTGGGCCCTGGAGTTCCCACTTACAGATTATTGAGATGGACAACCATTCCCCTTAAAGTTCATTTAAAATGCACGTAACTAATTTCTTGTAATTCTATTTATAAGCTTCAATAACGTGGTGACTATAAACACTTAAAATATATTTGATTTCCTTAAGAATGCTAAGGGTGGAACAGAGAAGACACACATTTTTCCAAGCACCAAAGTAACTCTTAAAAATAAAATGAAGGGCTGGGAAGGTGGCTCAGTGGTAGAGCACTTGCCTTGCATGCCTGAGGCCCTGGGTTCGATTCCTCAGCACCACATAAGCAAAAAGAAAAAGGCCGGAAGTGGCACTGTGGCTCAAGTGGTAGAGTGCTAGCCTTGAGCTGAAGAGCTGAGGGACAGGGCCCAGACCCAGAGTTCCGTCCCCACGACCGGACCCCCAAAATAAATAAATAAAATAATAATAAAATGAAGCTGGATGTTGATGGCTCATGCTTGTTATCCTAGCTACTTGGGAAACTAAAAACTGGAGGATTGAGGTTCAAGGTCAGCTTAGGCAGAAGAGTTTGCCAGTCTCTCTTCTTAACCCATAGCTCGGTGACTGGTGCACCCTGAGAATTAAAAGGTTGTATGCTTGAGCAGATTGACCTAGTCTGGGAGATTTAGAGCGAATACATTGTATATTAGTAAATTCATGGAAAATATTTGGTTAGATCTATGGCAAATTTAACAACGCTGATAGGGTTACAATGGGATTAGATACGAGCTTCACTCTATATTAGGCAAGTCAATATTATTTGAATTTTTTTCCCAATAGGTTGGTATTATTCCTGCTTCTGGACATAAATATAAATATATGTAGTTTATCAGAAACCCAATTAGGTGGTTTTCACACCATCTCAGTGGTTGTTATGGCACTATGGGGGAGGGGCAAATTCAATACTTGCCTGAGGAGGTGGTGCTGTAGCTCAAGTGGTAGAGCGCTAGCCTTGAGCTGAAGAGCTGAGGTACAGCGCTCAGGCCCAGAGTTCAAGCCCATGACTGACAAAAAAAATAAATAAAAATAAATAAAATACTTGCCTGAAAGGGAAGATCAGGTTGATAAGAAGTCTAACACAGCCCCCAAAGTTCTCAACCGCCTCTCACAATGTCACACGTCTCAGTCATCTGTACAGCAATCAAGACCTTTCTGTGAGAAGATTCTCCAGATGTATCTAAAGTTGTTAATCAGTGTATTTTAGGGAGGTTACTATAGGTGAGCCCTTGGAAGAAGTCAGGTTCAGGCAGAAGTGACTCCCCACTGTCTTTGAAGTAGCACCAATCCTATGTGCGCTGCCCATGGCCAGGAACCAGATGTGGCCTCAAAGGACCTGAGCAGTCCCCAGCTGACAGCCACCAAGGTCACCAGGACGTCAGATCGACAACTGCAAGGAAAAGGACCTTAACTCTCAGCCAAGGTCACAGCCATGCACAATGCCTAGCATCTGATCATATAAAATAATATTTACCAACATGAACTCCAGAAAACAGGGGTTTCTTTGTTGCTGTTCTTGTTTTCTTTTTTTTTTTTGGTCCGGTCGTGGGGCCTGAACTCTGGGCCTGGGCGCTGTCCCTCAGCTCTTCAGCTCAAGGCTAGTGCTCTACCACTTGAGCCACAGCGTCACTTCCAGATTTTTTCTTTTTTGCTTATGTGGTGCTGAGGAATCGAACCCAGGGCCTCAGGCATGCAAGGCAAGCGCTCTATCACTGAGCCACCTTCCCAGCCTCCTTTTCTTTTTATCTTGGTTTATCTGTCTTTGGGAGGACAAGTGGGGATACAAATGGAGGGACAAAGGGTGAACGAATGCAACAGTAGTGTTCACTGTTGAAAATGAACTATACAACTTGTGGGTAGGGATGGGAAGGGAAAACTGGAAAAGAGTGAGGGAAGGGGTGACATTGTCCAAAAAGAATTATACTTTCAAGCTGGGCACTGGTGGCTCACACCTGTAATCTTAGCTACTCCGGAGGCTGAGATCTGAGGATAGCAGTTCAAAGTCAGCCAGGGAAAGGAAAGTCTGTGAGACTCTTATCTCCAAGTAACCACCAGAAAACCAGAAGTGGCACTGTGGCTCAAGCGGTAGAGCATTTGCCTTGAGCTGAAGTGCGCACGGACAGTACCCAAGCCCAGAGTTCAAGCCCCACAACTGACAAAAAACAAAAAGAATTATACTTTCAGCCAGGCACCGGTGGCTCATGCCTGTAATCCTAGCTACTCAGGAGGCTGAGATCTGAAGATCACAGTTCAAAGCCAGGCAGGCAGGAAAGTCTGAGAGACTCTTATCTCCAATAAACCACCAGAAAACCAGAAGTGGCACTGTGGCTCAAGTGGTAGCGTTGAGCTGAAGAGCTGGGGGACAGTGCCCAGACCCAGAGTTCAAGCCCCATGACTGACAAAAAAAAAAAAAAAAAGATACTTTCAGCAGTAGTTGTTGGAGCCTGTAGCACTGGCATTCTTCATGTTCCTCTCTGTTCAGTGGTACTTTTGGTGCCTTAACCTCCCTCTCCATTCTCTTCCTCTGTGCTACTCAGAGAAAATTGACATCACAACACACACTGAAGTGTGAACTGAGGGTGTTTTTTCCCCCTCCTTTAGAGTATGAAGCGGAGCTGCCTTCCTTTCTAGAATGTAAAGTCAAACCAGAAGCCGCAGTTCCTGTGAGTATTGATTAGGCCTCAACCTTCATCAGAGGTTCTGAAGTGAGAAGGACACAGGTAGCCTGTGAGGGTCCAGTGTCCAGAGTTGGGGAGGTGGGAAAGGGAAGGCACTGGAGCCATGACTTGAACAGTGACTGCATCTCTTCAATGGGTTGGGTACTCGTTGCCTGGATCATGGGACCCAAGGCTGCAGTGGAATCTTGGGTGGCAAAGGCCTCCATAATCAGTCCAGCACTCTGTCTGTGTTGGGGACAGATGCAGACAGAGCAAATTTGTCTGCACACCTGGGTGGGATAGATGAAGACTGTGGAAGAGAGAGGCCAGGCCAGGCCAGGAGGGGAGAACCTTGGAAATAAACCTTGAAATTAAATAAACACTTAATGGAGTTAAAAAAAATTTAAGGCTCTGAACCAGGTACTGGCAACTCATGCCTGTAATCCTAGGCTAAGATCAGAGGGTCATAGTTGAAGCCACCCTAAGGCAGGAAAGTCCATGAGACTCTCACCTTTAATTAGCCACCAAAAAGCAGGAAGTGGAGCTGTGGCTCGAATGGTAGTATGCTAGCCTTGAGCACTTAAATCTCTGGGACAGTGCTCAGGTCCTGAGTTCAAGCCCCAGGACTGACACATGCACATGGATGCTGGTATGAGGGACATGTCCTCACGTTGAGAGGTATGGGCAGAGGGCAGGCCTATGGAGCCCTGCCAGATCCTCACTTTACCCATTCTCTCCCCTTTTTCCCCCTCTGTGCCTGGCAATTCTGACAGCTGAGGCCCCTTTGTGGTGGGAAGAAGAACTCGAGTCCTTAGGGCTTGTTGAGTGCTGTGCCTACCTCTTTCCTTCACTTGTGGAACCACCCTTCATCCTGCTTATTTTGGACTGGCTGGCCAGTATCTTCCCCACAGATAGCCCTCTTAATCTTTTCTAGAAAAAAAGTCATGTCTCAGGAGGTTAAGAAGACAAAGACCTATAGCCATAAAGTCTGACCCAGAGTTGTATTCCCTTGTAAGTTTGTCTTTAAAGACTGCAATGATTAAACTGTTTCTATGAATTAACTCTGCTCCCTGCCCACACCAGGTTTCCCCACTGGAGGAATTGGTGTTTCCCAGCATCAGGGCAGAGCATTTAGTGCCATCAGCCCAAACCCCTGTGGACTCACATGTACCCTGTCCTAAGAAGATATTGGTGACACTCGATCCAAAAACATGTAAGAAAGAAACTCCAGTGTCATCTTTTATCATTGGGGTTGTAACATTCCAGAACCTTGAGATAGGGAAAGGGGTGATTAGATAGACCTCAGAGAATCTTCCTAAATGAGAATCCTTATTTCTAAAAGAAATCCCCTCATGCCACTGATTTATCTTGAAGTTTAAAATATAATAGAGAGGGCTAGTTGTCATGGCTCACACCTGCAATCCCAGCTACTCAGGAAATGACAGATTAAGAGAATCAGTAAGATAAAAAGTTAGCAAGACCCCTGTGTCAGCAAAACAAGCCAGAGGTGGTAGTATACATCTATAATCCTGGCTACTCAGGAAGCATAATATAGAGGACTGTGATCTGAGGCTGGCCTGGGCAAAAATTGCTAGTTCCTATCTGAAAAAGCCTGGGGCATGTCTTAAGGGGCAGAGCACCTGTGTGTATAGGTGTAAGGCCCTAATTACAACCTCCAGTATCACCATAAAAAATTTGAGATGATAATAGCAATGCGCATACGCTTGACTAAGTGAACTATAAAGGAGAAGGAAAGGAAGAGGAACAAATGCAAAATGGGGAGAAAATGCCTTGTTGCTCCTCCCTGAGCTGTAGGCCGGGGTTCTTCCTCCCCCAGCTCCTCAGGCCCACTCCTTGTACCTGGCCTGCTGCTGGTGGTTTGTTCTGTGCCTGCACCGCATGTTGGGTCTTGGCCACTCACTGCCATGGTCATTATATCTTTCCCCCAGCTCCCATCTCAGCACTCTTTCCTTATACCCTGGGGTGGTACCAAAGCAGCAAACATCTCTCCAGATAAACATGGGTCATTTGGAATCTGCAGTAGGAATGAGTTTGTTGTCTATTTGTTTTAGGCTCCCCTAGAGAATATTTGGAAAATTTCATCTTTCCAGTTCTGCTTTCTGGAATGGTCAGCCTGCTTCACCAAGCAAAGATAGAAAAGTGCTTTGAGGTGAGTTGTATGGCCAGGGTCTCTTTATTTCAAATTCTCAGTTACTCACTTAAATCAGAGGGCAGCCATGACCTTAGTGCCATCAAGTTGTTGCATTCAAAATGTAACAACTGTGGCTGGGAATGTGGCTTAGTGGTAGAGTCCTTGCCTAGCATGCATAAAACCCTGGGTTTGATTCATCAGGACTATGTACCCAGAAAATTCAGAAGTGGCACTGTGGCTCAAGTGGTAGAATGCTAGGACTGGCAACAACAACAACAAAATTAATAACTTCCATCTGTCCAGTCACCAGGGCCCTGAAGAGAATATCCCATTGCGTGGCCTACCTCCTGCCCTTCTTCTGTGCATCTGGCATCTCCTGGCTTCCTCAGGTTTTCCATTCCTGTGTTGTGTGAACTAATGAAAGCACTCCTCACTTCCCATTTGGCTCTGATTGTTCCTCCTGCTCTAGCTTCTCTCTGTGTACCCTGTGTCCACTGTCAAGCAAGTAACTCATGCCCAGTGTTCAGTCTACCAGGACTCATTGCACTGTACCTGATATGTGTCTATACCAATCTCTGTACCCCACATGTTCATCCCCTCCATTTGTGGGATGTGTTGGGGCACATGTCCCTGTGAGCTCTGAGTTCTGGACTTTTGGATGCCCTACACCAAGTGAGTAAGGTAATGAAAGACATTTAATGGGGCTGGGAAGGTGGCTCAGTGGTAGAGCTCTTGCCTTGCATGCATGAGGCCCTGGGTTCGATTCCTCAGCACCACATCAGCAAAAAGAAAAAAGCCAGAAGTGGTGCTGTGGCTCAAGTGGTAGAGTGCTAGCCTTGAGCTGAAGAGCTGAGGGACAGCGCCCAGGCCCAGAGTTTAGGCCCACGACTGGACCCCCCCCCCAAAAAAAAAAGACATTTAATGTTGGCCAAGCCTCTGGTCTGTGTCAGGCCCTTTCAGAGTGCTGTCACCCAGTTCCCCCTGTTCCTGTCAGTAGCTTTCTGCACATGAAGAAATGGAGGGTGGCAGAGCCTCACACCATGATCAGGGGCAAGTGGCAGAGCTGGGATTCAAATCCAGATTAAATGTTCCAAAATGACAAAGGCTGGGAATGTGGCTTAGTGGTAGAGTGCTTGCCTAGCATGCATGAAGCCCTGGATTCAATTCCTCAGTACCACATACAGAGTAAAAAAAAAAAAAAAGCCAGAAGTGATGCTTTGGCTCAAGTGGTAGAGCACCAGCCTGGAGCAAAAGAAGCTCAGGGACAGTACCCAGGCCCTAGTTCAAGCCCCAGGACTGGCAAAAAAAAAAATGACACTCAAATGTTAGCAGACTGGAAGCCTAATTGATATGACACTTCCTGGAGCCTGGAGAAGCAATCCCAAGTTAATGGTGTCCCTCAGTTGGAGCCCCTGCCTGAGAAGGACCTGTGCCTGGACCCAATGCTGCTTTTACATGCTGAGGAGCTACTTTATACACTTTATACACGTTTTGGCAAACATTCTGTTTTCCTGTGAGGCCTTGTCATTACATGGCCCTTCTCACCTCCTAGTCACCACATGTTAGAGCTGTCTCCAGCTCGCTGCCACTTGATCCACTCAGCCCAATACTCCTCACAGTCCTCTCTCTCTCTCTGATACCTTGTCTCTTCACCTCAGGCAGACCTGTCAGAATTTGGATAGCAAATCATGTCAGCCTTCTGTCACTATAATGAGACACCTGAGACAAGTGATAACACAAAGAGATTTACTTCCACTCACAGTTTTGCAGGTTCTAGCCCAGGATCAGTTGGCCCTATTGCTTTGGGCCTGTGGCAAGGCAGTGCCTTATGGTAGGAGTCTGTGGTAGAGCAAAGCCAGGAATGGGCTGGAGTTCCATAGCACGCGCCCTCTAACACCTTTGAGAGCAAGCATCACTCAAGAGATCCAGCCTTTACCACATGACCCGTTGGTGGGGGAGGCATCCAACATCTAAACCACATCCTTTAAGGAATAATTTGGGGTGCCGCACTGTCCCACAGTACATTGTTTGACAAAGAGGCATTCACACAATGAAGCAAGAGCACCAGCCCAGCCTTCTCCTGTCTGTCTCCTGCCCTTGATCTGCCTCCTTCCCCGGCACTGCCTGTAGCCACACTGAGCCAGTCCTTGTCCCCCACTCACACTCACTTCCTTGGCACTGTTCAAACATGCCTTCTTTCTTCAGAAGACACTCCTTCCGCTCCTCTTCCCCACCTGTTTCAGTTCTGTTTTGTTTTTGTGCACTCAGCTCCATGATGCCTATCTCAGACTGGCAGTTCCCTGCTAGGCCCAGTGCTCAGATTTCAGAGAATTCATCTGTTCCTCGTTTTATGGCAAATTAAGATAGCTTTGATTAAGACATTCTTAACCCACATGCACATATACTTAATTTTACACATGCCAGTCTCCATTGATATTTTTAAGAACCTTGAGGACAGATTCTTTGATTTCCTTGGTCCCCCTTTCAATGTATATTTCCATGTATATTGCTCATCGTGAACATACAGTTATCCTCAGGAAAGCACTGCTGTGCCTGAGCCCTGACTATAACCCACATCTCTTCTCTGTATGGGACCCATCTCTGGAGAGGCTCTGATGGAAGAAGGAGAAAGAGCTCACCCATGTAACTCATGAGTTTGGCTAACCTGGGAGAAAGAGCAGCATGCGGTTCATGGCGCTGCCCCCCACAACATACATTTGCTATTATGCAGTCAGTAAATTGGGCCTTGGTTCAGGGTGTAATTGTTAGAAGCAAGACTCTGGAATCAAAGTTGCCTAATTTTCAAGTTTGCCTCTCTAGGTATGGTGGCTTACGCCTGTAATCTCAGCTACTAGGGAGGTTGAGGCAAGAATCATAAATTTGAAGACAGGAAGGGCAACTTAGGGAGACTCTGTCTCAGATAAACTTTAGACAAGGATGGAGCTGTAGCTGAGGGTAGAGCCCTTGCCTAGCATGCATGAGCACCTCCATCCCTGTGGTGACACAGCAGAGGACAGAGGTGGTCATGTTTGTGGTGCCCAGGGCAGGCCTAGAGCATGAAAAGTTCTCAACAAAGGTCCTCTTAGTTATCATGGGTGCTCCAGGGGAGGGGATGCAGGGGGAGGGGTTGTACCTATTACCTCAGTGGCCTTGCTCTTGCTGGCAGGTGACCTCAGAGCCTGGCCGTGTTTCTTTCCCAATGTACCGGAGTTGGAGGTTGTCTTCAAAGTAGCTCCCAGAAATGCCGATGGCTGCTATTCATAGCTATTTTTGGGAAAACAGATTACCTTTCACTACACAATCTAAACTGCCTACAATTCTTTACTATTGTTCATTCTCTTCTTTGACTTCCCTGGCCCACTTAATCCTGACCACTTTCATAAAGAGCAGCATGGTCTTCTCTGTGTGGTGTTAAACAGGTGGCAGGCGTGGCAAGCTGGGTGGGGGTAAGGCTGGAGAAGTCAAGGAGGAAGCTCTCAGCATGGCCCCTGCCGTTGTCCCATGGCTTTGTCTCTCTGGGCTTCAGTTCTTTAAGTAAAGTGAGAAAACCAGACTGTCTCACAGTCCCAGCTCTAGGTGTGTCCCCTTTGCTATCTTACTGTTGACCAAATTTTGTTAGTGAGCTGTGTCTTTAATCAGACGGAGCACAGGATGGAATCTAAAACTATCAAATGGACACAATGGTATGTCTCTGTTGTCATGTGAAGAATATCTGTAAGCAGGCAAAGTGGCTCAGAAATAATTGTTTTCATCCAGGCTACGTGGCTCAAGCCTTTAATTCCAACTACTTTGGAGGCAGAGATCAAGAGAGTTGTGGTTTGAGGCCAGCCCAGACAAAAATGTTAGCTAGACCCCATCTGAACAAACAAGCCAGGTGTGGTACTGTGCACCTGTCCTCCTCATTATGTGGGAGGCTGTAGAAGGAACATGGTCTGAGGCTGACCCTGGATAGAAGAGCAAAGCCTTTTCAATAAAAGCAAAAACCCTAAAAGCTAAAAGGGCTGGGGTCTGGTCAAGCGGTGGAGGAGATACCTAGCATGCAGAGGCCCAGAGTCCAAACCCCACAACCAGAGAGTGAGAGAGAAAGAAAAGTTCTGTTCAACAAATATACATGGAACCCTTCTGTGTGCCGATCATGGCACCCAGTCCCTGTGGGCACAGAGAGGTCAGTAGCTGTCCTGGTCCTCCAGAAAGCCACAGGTGTGGGGGCTGGTCAAGGTTTCCAGGTGGGTGGGAAGGTGATGACAGGCTAAGGTTCTTGCTTTCCTCCTGGGCTTGCCCCCCCTTTTTTTTTTGCCAGTTCTGGGACTTGGACTCAGGCCTGGGCACTGTCCCTGAGCTTCTTTTGCACAAGGCTAGCACTCTGCCACTTGAGCCACAGTGCCATTTCTGGCTTTTTCTGTTTATATGGTACTAAGCAATTGAACCCAGGGTTTCATGCATGCTAGGCAAGCACTCCACCACTAAGCCACACTCCCAACTCATGGGCTTGCCATTTTTCTTCCTCTGAAACATGAATGAACAAAATAGCAAGAGGGAACTTGAGGCTGCAAATTTGATTTCTCCACCGTGGGGCAGCTGGAACCCTTTGTATAGTATTGTTGTACCTTACCCAGCTGTTCTGTTGATCATTTAAACACAATCAGCTAACAGGTCCAGTCATGAAGATTTTACCTTGCAGGTTGCACAGCTAATGTTTGTCCATAAATAATGTTGTAAGGAGGAGGTTAGTAACACTCTCAGTCTCCAGGCAGCGACAAAAACTCCTTTAAAGCATCCGAGAAATTTCTATTTGTATTAGAGATTAATGAGTCAGGCCTTGGGCCAAGCCATTTCTCATCTTTGACATCCGTAGCCCAGCAGCTGGCGCCCTGTCAACACCAGATGCCACATTGCTTGTGTGCAGTTTACGTCTGATCAGGAAAGACCACGAAAGCTGTGCAGGCTCTTAGGAGTGCTGATAAACTCTGCAGGCAGGCAGGCAGGCACTCTGGGGTCCAAAATCCTGGTGGGGGCTG